TGTGTAGTATTCCATTGTGTAAATGTGCCACAATGTTTGTATCCATTCCTCAGTTGAGGGACATCTGGGTTGTTTCCAGATTCTGACTATTAGGAATAAAGCTGCTATGAACATAATTGAACAAATGTTTTTGTTGAAGGTTGGAGTATCTTTTGGGTATATGGCCAGGAGTGTATAGCTGAATCTTGAGGTAGTGCTAGCCCAAATTTTCTGAGAAAGCACCTGATTGATTTCCAAAGTGGTTGTACAAATTTGCACTCCCACCAGCAATGGAGAAGGGTTACTTTAACAAACCAAATAATCAAATTAAAAATGGGGGAGGGGTGGGAGGACAGCCTTACCAGGTCACAGAGGAAGATATTGCAGATTGTCTTGATGAGACCTGTAGGCTAGGGTCAAATGGAAAGGGAGGAGGACCTGCCCTGTCAGTAGACTAGGGGAGAGGCATGGGAGGAGAAGAGGGAAGGAGGGCGGGATTGGCAGGGCCTGAAGGAGGGAGCTACAGCTGGGATACAAAGTGATTAAATTGTAATAAATAAAAAAATTAAAAATTAAAATTAAAACAAGAAAAAAATGAGTGTAGAGCTAAATAGGGAATTCTCAACAGAGGAATATCAGAGAAACACTTAAATGCTCAAAGTTCTTAGTCATTTGGGAAATGCAAAGAAAATACTTCTGAGATCCCATCTCACACCAATCAGAATGGCTAAGATCAAAAACTCAAGTGATAACACATGCTGGAGAGGATAAGGCAGTCTTTTCTGTGCATGAACATCCCTTCACTGTGTTGCTCAGTTGATAAGGCCAAGATTACGTACAGAGAAAATGTGTTTTCTGAAGGCTATCTCAAATAAGAACACTAAAATACATTCCCTCTGCTTACATAGGGCCAGAAAGTTTGCAACCTTGAATTTTTTCATATTAACACTCAATACTCATTCTTTATTCTAAATAATACACCTTTCTCAAAACTATTTTACAATTTCATCTGCAAAAGAATAGTCTGTAAGACAAATAAATAAGGAAGACATCTCATGCATTTTTAACTTTTAATTTTCTTAAATTTTCCACTCTGCTTGCTCTTTTAGCCTTGTTTGGAAATTTCATCTCTTGAGGAAGGAAACCTAGATGGTATGATATCATTCATAAAGCCATTGTAGTTTTGGTTGTGAGCCTAGACTTTAATGGCTGATCCATCTCTCCAGCACATAGAGGCATAGTAAACACTCTAAGTGCTACTCTGGAGCGGCCCACAATCATTCCTTAGGGGCTTATCCTACCCTTTTTCTTATATGTGTCTGTGTAAATAATAAACTCACTAACTTTTCTTTATTCTAGCTCGTCCCAAAATCTTTTTGGCATTCTAGTCAAGTATTGCCGCTTACTGGGTAGGTGGTGGCTAAAGGTGGAAGCTCTAGCAACACTGTCTGGAAGTGATGATCACTCTCCCAATCTCTACTGCCTTTGACTCCTATGGTTAGGCTTTATTTTTCCATTTATTTATTTTTTCCCAATGTTCCGTGAGGAAATTCTCCATGACTTAACATGTAGCTGAGAATTCCTGTAATATCACTTCTAGACTGTATTTCTCCATGGAATTGGTCAGAAGAGATTGTGGATGGAGGTGACAGGCATGAAACAGATATTTGAGAAGTAAGATTTTACCCTTTCAGAAGCAATGTCTTATGGAAAAATAATAACCCGACAGGCGACATCAGACCTGAGTGAGCTCTTCCAATTGTGCCTGTGGGTTCCTTCTCATATTACTGTTTATGAAAACAAGATTGTTCTTAAAACTTTTCTTATTTTAAAATCTTATGCAATATTATAACTTGTCAGATATAATTAAATACATTGTTTCAACCTGTAAAAACTTAATTATCGAATATAAAATTCAATTGAATTATCTTATTTCCTAGAAGAAAAGTCTCCAAAGAAAAGTCTGGAGGTGCGTCTGCCAGGTGATAAAGTTCTGAACTGAATTTTGTGTTTTTAAAGTTTGTCAGCCTCATGCAGATGCAATTACTCAGATAGGTATTAAGTCTTGGAAACAGCAGAGATTTGCTGTGTGTGCTGACACTTCTCAGGAGTAGCCGTTGTACACTCGAATTCTTTTTCTTTTTTATCCTAATGCTCATTCTCTCTTCCTAAATCTGCTTCCTCCATCTCATCTTTTGAGGTTCTTTTGATGGTGACCCATCCTATGCCTATCATCTCTGTCTCTTTTTATGACCCTTGTTTATTAAGATGCCATGTCAGATATGATTCTTTAATAAAGCCTATTTTCGTGTATATTTCAATTTTATTGTCATTTTCTAAAGACCAAAATCTGGCATTCTTAAAGTAGCCATCTAATTAATACCTTTCCTGTAAATTGTTTCCAGTTAAATTTTTATTCCATTAAAATATAAAGTTGTCAAGTGACGCTAGCTATCAATAGGATTTCGTTCTGTTTATACTATTACTACCACCATCTTCATCATTAGTGCTAGTGTGAATGTGTACATGCATGCTTTTGTGGTATGTGTGTGTGTGTGTGTGTGTGTGTGTGTGTGTGTGTGTGTGTGTGTATGGATGGTACTACCCATAGAAGACAAGGTCAAGATAAGCTGTCCTACCCCTGGCACCATGCAGCCATACACATTTGAGAAAGAACTGTTCTGGGAGTAGCAATTATAGTACCATGGACAGTCTATGTGGAAAATTCTTTACAAACGTAGGTATAAACCAGCCCTGAAAATATTGCTGAGGCTCTGTTTTAGTCCAGCATTTACACGTTTTTTAGTTGTGTCTCCCTCTCAAATTCTGACCATATGCTTCTTCTTTTCTTTAGCTCCACTGCCTTTCCAGTAACTGCCTACTTCTTGTTGGCTGGTCTTACTCAGGGGCCTTCCAGTGGCATGGCTTTCTTTTCCTTCTATTGATCATTTCATTCTCTTCATAGTTCTAACCTCATTTTATACTGACTTTCACTCACTTATGTTGCAGCCCCTTGGTAAGGCAGGTTTCTAGTGATTATCCTGCTTTTCCTTTATCTTCGGTTTTTGCACAGGACTGTTGAAATGGCAGTGTACAATACAGCTTTAGTCACTATCTGCAGAAGGACTCTGATGTCTTGTTAGATATTTCCGCTCTGTCTTTGAAGAAAGAAGTGTCTATATAAAAAATAATTGCAACATAAACATGTTACTTTTTGCTAGTTTCCAAGTATGTTTTTAGATCACTTGCGCCTAGATGGGCTGCCTTGTTTGGCCTCAGTGGAGAGGATGTGTTTAGTCCTGTTATAACTGGATGTGCAGAGATGATTGGTATGGGGCTAGGGTGGGGAAGTTCTCGTTTTCTGAGGAGAAGGGGAAGGACAAGGGAGAAGATGGTGGGAGGGTAGTACAGGGAGCAGAGGAGGGAGAAGGAACAATCAGTATGTAATGTGAATGAATGAATGAATGAGTAAATAAATAAATAATAAAGGAGCTGGGGAAGGTGTTTCAGACCTGTAATCCTAGCACTACAGGAAGCACAAGCAGGTGGATCTCTGTGACTTCGAGCTAGTCTAGTCTATAAAGTTTGTCCAGAACAGACAAAGCTACACAGAGAAATCAAAACAAAACAAAGCAAAACAAAAATAAAAACAACAACATAAAACAAAACAAGAAAAGAGTGGAGGTTGGGGACATGGTTCACACAGGGAATGTGCACCATTAAGAGCTAGGACATTTGTCTAACAAAGCTGAGGCCCTGCTTTCCTCACCAATACAGAAAGAAATAAAGCTGAATGAATGTATCTATCATTTTTATATACGGGGAAAAAGTATTGCTTTTGAGTTTACTTCTGAGCTATTGTTCTGATATAATTCCTTTACAAGTGAGAAATTCTGCAGAAACAAACATCACAGGATGTAAGTTTTGGAAGAAACCCTGAATATCAAAGGTGTAACAGAGCAGGACAGTGCAGAGGTTTCTCCTGGTACACCATTTCTCCTTCTGGTATTCTTGCTGAGGCCGTTTTAGGTTTGACTAGAATTTGACTTCTCTTACTTTATTTAGGAGATCAAAATACCCCAGGAAATTTATCTTTGCCTTTACTAAATTTCTGGTATATGGAAGCCTCCCACTCCACCCAGCTGTTTATCTTATCATCTGTTAAACTGCTTATTTGCATAAAGTCTCCCTGTGAAGTTCCAGAGCAAGATAATAGAATCTAGTTATTGACTTTAAAAACCCCCTGCTCTAAACACTCAGCCCTATACTTAGTTTTCTAGAACCTGAGTGTCATCCCAGCCAGTCGGAATAACAACTTTTGTGTGTGTGTGTGTTACGTCTTTGAGGGATTGCCTCAATTACAAAAAAAGTTTAATCATTATTTATTACAATTTATTTATTTTATATCCCAGCTGTGGCCCCCACTCTGGTATCCTTCAGGTTCCACACTCCCTCCTCTCCCCTTCTGCCCCTCCCCTTGTCCACTGATAGGGGAGGTCCTCCTCCCCTTCCATCTGACTCTAGCCTATCAGGTCTGATCAGGACTGGCTGCATTGTCTTCCTCTGTGGCCTGGCAAAGCTGCATCCCCCAGGGGGAAGTGATCAGAGAGCCAGGCACTGAGTTCATGCCTGAGACAGCAGCTGTTCCCCTTACTAGGAAACTCACTTGGAGACTGAGTCTTTGAACTACATCTGTGCAGGTGTTTTGGGTCCTCTCCATGCATGGTCCTTGGTTGAGGTATCAGTCTCTGCAGGGCCCCTAGGGCCTAGTTGGGATAACGACTTTTAATTGGCTATATAATGTGTCTGAGTGGTCTTTTCTGCTGGGATACCCATAACAAAAGAATATAGGAAGGTTAATATTTTATGAAAAGATAAGATGAAACTTTCTATGATTGGCCTCCATTCATTTTCCTTCCAAGCCCTTCCTCACCATTGTATTTACAGTAACATGGAACACCAGATTATCTCTGAAGCCTATGGAGGCATAAAATATCATGCACACCAAATTATTTCTGAGCACACAAGCAATAAAACATAAGTGGTTTATTCTTTTATCAAGCAATGACAACAAACAGCATCCATATGGTGAAAGCTTCTAAAGGAAGATGTGCATGTACAGGACAGACTTACACCAAATCATTAACACAAAGACACAGCATGATTCATGTTCACAGGGGAAGAACCTACTAAAGAGTAAAACAGACTCAATCAGTAAAAACGTAAGCTGATCTTTGTTGTTTATTAAATCTATCTCCCTTAATGTTTCCTTAAGCTAAGAAGAAATCTATAATCACACAGCCCATGGTGCTATATACACAGAAGAGAGTGTGCACTATAAAATTCCAAGTTCCTATGCAGTTTTACACAATTTAAACTTGGATAAAAGTTGTATTTAAAAAAAGATCTTATTGGAGTAACTTCAGCAAATGGATATTATTTCAATAGCTCATTAGCAGTTTTAGCAATAGTAAGAAGAAAAATAAGTAGAAAAGATTTTCAAATCATGTATGCTATTCCCTTACACCTGGATCGTTCTGTCCTATTCCAATAACCCAGCTTTCTGGTATTAATCTATCTCTACTGGTCTTCTATGCTCTCCTTTAGTAAAAAGGATAAAGGCAGTAATTTTCACTTCTCTAGAGTACCTCAAGAGGCTCAGCTAGAGCACACAGTTAGGAGAAGATGCTTTACATATGCAGAAGCAGAAGTCATTTTGGAAAATGATCAAGGATGGGCTTCTTTACTAGACACATCAGAACAACAAAAGCAGTGGAGACGTCCACCTTCATTGGCGCTGTGGGTTCACCTTACCTGTTTCTACTAGAAACCATTCAGCTTATTTGGACCAAACAAGTGAATGTTTTCTGAGGATGATATAGGCCACTGTGCTACATGGAGTGGGTCCAGTTTTGTCTCACTGTCAGTCTCCCTACAAGCTGTTCTTTCAGTGCGAATAGTCATGCTCCTTTTCCAGAGCTGAGGAAGTTCTTGACTTATGCGACCCTGGTCTGCACAAGAAAGTCAACCCTGACCATAAAGGAGGCCCCTGTAAGCAGTTGAATTCCCAGACAGACTCACACTGATAACATGCTGCACTGTAGTGAATGAAGGTAAAAGTGTACCAACACATTGCAGACGTTTTACCATACGTAGCTCTCTCCCTTCCTGTCCATTTCCCATAGCAGGATGCACATTGTACAGAGAATGTTGGATAGCTTCTCATCTGTACACGGCCCATGGCCAAATTATGCCTTCACATGACATTTCACTGAAGGTCAAACAAATGCCTGAAGGCAGGATTTGGCGCAAGATATAAACATTTCTTAATGACAGTAGATTCATTGCTATGAGGTTGTCCAATATGCAGACTTTAGCCTTCCTTTTTTTCCTATGACATTTCCTTCAAGGCACAAAAGATTTTAAACAGTGGATGGGACAGAGTATTTTACATTTAGAATTTTTAAGGTTCCACATGACCTTTTATTTCCGATTCAAACATAGCAAAAGGACAAAGAAAAATAAAATACTGTAAAAAAAAAATGACATGATACTTAGGTCATCTGAAATTCCCTGCAGTTTATTTTTGTTTATTTAAAGAATTTCAAATATCATTTTATTGGTTTAAAATATAACGACATGTTTTTATTCTTGTGAGTGCTGTAATTTCTAATTAAATATTGTATGAAATGTTTCTAACTGGCCAATATCACTCTTGGGAAAAAAAAAAAAAAACAGCTTATTTAACCAACAAAGGGATTTTGACTAGGTAATAAACTTGGAAAAGTTAAGCTGTAATTTAAATATGGATCAAGTGCAAGGTACTGTAAAACTCTTCCTCCATAAATAGGTAATAGGGCTCCTTATGCATCTCCAACCCAAACAACGGTGTTTCCTCTCTGAACCTCAGTGATCTCACAGTTTAACTTATTAAGGCGGCCATCCAGGATGAAGAGAGAATCTTTGGAGGGGGTCATCAGGTATTGTCCGAATAGGCCACTGCCTTGGATGTGCCTGTTTTTCGGGCTCCAGGGCCAGTCCTCTGCCTTGAGAGGTTCTTTGAGGCTTTTGATCATCTTGACCTTACCAGAGGAAAGCTCTACAAAGAGCACATCTGTTTGTTGGCTTGAGCTGCCATAGATGTTGTACTGGTGGGCTTCTGTGAAGGATGGCTGGAAGGCCAGGTCAGAGATGTGCAGGTTGGTGTGGATGTCAAAAGCATCCAGGATTTCTCCTCTGATGGTGATATACTGGACTCTCACAAGACCTTTCCCGTCATTCACACTGACAAGATAGTGTCCATCTGGGGAGATGTAAGGGGTTCCGGTCACATCGCTGTTGAAGCCAATGACAGAATCAGTCACACTGTCCACCACAAGCTGGGGTGGAAGGGCTCCAGTGATGTCAGGCTTGCAGCTAATGAAGTAGTATCCTCCCAGGTGAGTGTATGCCAAGGACAGGGGCATGCACTTTGGGTCCTTCAGGTTAATTGTTTTGATGTAGGACATGGTTTCAAGATCAATTTTGTGTAGTGCAGATTCATCTTTATGAAGAATAAATCCAAACCTGAAAAGATAAAACCAAAGTTAGGAAGGAAAATATAGAGCTGTTGGCCAAAGGTATACATCTCAGACAGATACAAGATCCACCCCAAGCCAGGGCCTTGACTTCTCCTGTAAAACTCTTCTGCATAACACTAATGTTAAATTAGTCTTTGGTATGTCCTATTCTGATGCTTTCTCAAAGTTAATTAATTTCTATTTACATCCAAATAATTATAAATCCTTCTGAAAAAAAAAGAAAATAATTTAAAGCAGCAGGACTGGTTAATGTTAAAAAAAATGCTTTTAACATAGAGGAGAAATGAAATATTTTTAGGTCTCTAAAGACGATACTCTATAAAATTTGTTAACTGATAATGAATCCAGCAAGAATAACAAATCTGAAAAATGATACTTTGTGTATTTACATAGGTACGTATAACTTTACTTATTTCATTTGTATTTTTGTGTGATAGAAGTGTGTTCAATGCCTCAGAGATGGCAGAAAGCACTGAGCTACATGAATCTCTAGGTTTTTTTTACGATGAACTAAGTAGTACATACTATTTGAATAATCATCCAGATATTCACCAAATTTATACTGAGGATTATATTATAGATGCATATTTTTATTTTTGCATATAATATTTTATTTATATTCATTATATGTTATGAGAACCTTGCTAGACTACTTTTTAAATTTTATTTTATTTTATTAATTACACTTTATTCACTTTGTATCCCCCCATAAGCCCCTCCCTCTTACTTTCCCAGTACCAGCCTCCCTCTCCTTTCTTCACACATGCCCCTCCCCAAGTCCACATATAGGGGAGGTCCTCCTCTCCTTCCTTCTAATCTTAGTTTATCAGATCACATCAGGAGTGGCTGCATTGTCATCTTCTGTGGCCTGGTAAGGCTGCTCCCACCTCAGGGGGAGGTGATCAAAGAGCAGGCCAATCAGATTATGTCAGAGGCAGTCCCTCTTCCCATTACTATGTAACCCACTTGGACACTATACTGCCATGGGCTACATCTGTGCAGGGGTTCTAGGTTATCTCCATGCATGGTACTTGGTTGGAGTATGATTCTCTGGGGAGACCCCTGTGTTCAAATTTTCTGGTTCTGTTGCTCTCCTTGTGGAGTTCCTGTCCTCTCCAGATCTTACTGTTTCCCACTTCTTATGTAAGATTCCATGCACGTTGCCCAACAGTTGGCCATAAGTCTCAGAGTCTGCTTTGATAGTCTGCAGGGCAGAACCCTTCAGAGGCCCTCTGTGGCAGGTTCCTAGGTTGTTTCCTGTTTTCTTCTTCTTCTAATGTCCATCCTCTTTGCCTTTTGGGGTTGGAATTGAGCGTTTTTTGCTAGACTACTTTTGATTTTACCTTATTTATACATTTTCTGTTTTCCACGGCATTTACATTCTCCTCACTTTGATTCCATAAGTCCATTGTACTAGTTTTAATATTGAACAATGAAGAAATTTGGAAGTAACATTTTTATTAAATCCAATTCAATTTTCTCTGTTTTAATTAATTCAATCATTAATCAGTCTGAGTAAAACTTTTAATGACTTTTCAAAAAGTATACATATATTTGACGATATGATTAAATTAAGTAAATAAGAGAAAAAGAACATGTTACGGAGGTTCACATCTATATGACAATAATTCTGTGACTAGGCTTGAGGACTGCCAGTTCTAGGCTAGCTGAGATACTTCGTGAAGACTCTGTATCAAAACCAGATATGAAAGAGGAAAGAAGGTCAGAAAGACAGAGACACAGAGAAAAACAGAGAGACAGAGACATACAGAGAGACAGAAAGACAGAGATAGAGAGGCAGACTATTAAACAAAATTATAGCCAACAAGGAAGAATTAATTTTTTGGTATCAGTAATTTTAATAGAATAACTTTACAATAATTCAAATGCCTCATGAATTACATGTCAGAAAAATACTGTTCTCTGTTCACACGTAAAGAAAATAGAAGATTTTATTGCATTAGGTTTAAAGAAAACAACATACTGAGCTGCCATGGGCTATGTCTGAGCAGAAGTTCTAGGTTATATCCATGCATGGTCCTTGGTTAGAGAATGAGTCTCAGAAAAGACCCTTGTGCCCAGATATATTTGGTACTTGTGGCGCTCCTGTTCTCTGCAGGTCTTACTAATTCCCCCTTCTTTCATATGATTCCCTGCACTCTACCCAAAGTTTGGTTATGAGTCTGAGCATCTGCTTTGGTACACTGCTAGGTAGAGTCTTTCAGAGGCCCTCTGTGATAGGCTCCTGTCCTGTTTTCTTGTTTTCTCCTACTTCCAATGTCCATCCCATTTGTCTTTCTAAGTGAGGATTGATCATCTTACCCCTGGTCCTCCTTCCTTTTCAGGTTCTCTAGGTGTACAAATTTTAGTATGTTTATCCTATCTCATAGGTCTAGTATCCACTTATAAGTGAGTATATACCGTGTGTGTCTTTCTGCTTCTGGGATACCTCACTCAGGATGATATTTTCTAGATCCCACCATTTGCCTGCAAATTTCATGATTTCCTTGTTTTTAATTGCTGAGTAGTAGGGTTGAACAAATGTCCTTGTTGTGTACTTGAGGATATTTTGGATATATGCTGAGGAGTAGCATAGCTGGATCTTGAGATAACACTATTCCTAATTGTCTGAGAAAGTTCCAGAGTGATTTCCAAAGTGATTGTACAAGTTTACACTCATACCAGCAATGGAGGAATGTTCCTTTTTTTTCCACATCCTCTCCAGCATGTGTTGTCTCTTGAGTTTTTGATCTTAGCCATTCTGATAATTTTGATTTTCATTTCCCTGATGACTAAGGATGCTGAGATTCAATGCAATTCTCATCAAAATACTAATACAATTCTTTACTGAACTTGAAAGAACAATTCTCAATTCCACATAGAAAAACAACAAACTCGAATTGCTAAAACATTCCTCTACAACAACAGATTGTCTGGAGGTATCACCATCCTTGATCTGAAGCTGTACTACAGAACCATAGTAATAAAAAGTGCATGATATTGGTATAGAAATAGAATGGTGGATCAATGGAATAAATAAAAGACCCAGAAATAAACCCAAACACCTATGGATACTTGGTTTTTGAGAAAGAAGCCAAAACCATACAATGAAAAAAAAAAAAAAGACAGCATCTTCAACAAATGGTGCTGGTCAAATTGGATGTCTTTATGTAGAAAAATGCAAATAGATCCATATTTATCACCCTGCACAAAACTCAAGTCCATGTGGATCAAAGACCTCAACAGAAAACCAGGCACACTAAATCTGTTAGAAGAAAAAGTGGGGAAGAGCCTTGATCTCATTGGCACAGGAGAATATTTCCTAAACAGAACACCAACCACACAGGCTCTAAGATCAACAATCAATAAATGGGACCTCATGAAACTAAAAAGCTTCTGTAAAGCAAAGGACACAAAGGACACTGTCATTAGGATAAAACGACAGTCTACAGACTGGGAAAGAATCTTCACCAGCACTATATCTGACAGAGGCTATTCAGAATATATAAAGAACTCAAGAAGTTAAGAAACAACAAATCAAGTGATCCAATTAAAAATGGGATACATAACTAAAAAGAGAATTCTCAATAGAGGAATACTGAATGGCAGAGAAACACTTAAAAATGCTTAACATCCTAAGTTTAATTTTTTTAAAGGCAGCATAAATACTTATACGCTGCATTCTACCCAAAGAGTCTCAGCATCTGCTTCGATTCCCTGTTGGGAGAATCATTTCAGAGGGTCCTCTATAGTAGGTTCCCATCTGGTTTCCTCTCTTCCACCACTTCTGGTGTCAATCCTGTTCACCATTCTGAATGAGATTTATGTTTTCCCTGTAGGGTCCTTCTTACTGTTTAGGTTCTTTGGGTCTATAGATGGCTATCCTATATTATGCGGTTACTATCTGCTTATAAGTGAGTATATAGTATGCCTGTCTTTCTGTTTCTGGGTCTTCTTACTCAGGATGATCTCTTCTATTTACATCTATCTCTCTGCAAATTTCATAGTTTTCTTTTTTTTAATTGCTGAGTAGTATTCCATTGTGTAAATGTACCACAATTTCTGTATCCATTCCTCTGTTGAGGGACATATTGGTTGTTTCCAGATTCTGGCTATTACAAACAAAGCTACCATGAACATAGTTGAGCAAATGAGACTTAACAAGTGATTGGCACATGGCAATAATGGATAACTCTCCCTTTCCTTGAACTAGGGGAAAAAGATGGAGGAAATATGGAGAGAGAGTGGGACACACGGGGGAGTTGAGAGTAGGCCCTCCAATTAGGATATATAATAAATAATATGTGAAGAAAAATTTTAAATTAAAAAATGCTTATACCCACACATAAGTGGAGATATCACTTCTCACCTAATAAACATCTTATTGAAACAGGATAATATCATTACATAAAGGAAAAATTTAGTAAAATTGCAAAGAACAACTGACTCTAAGGTGTTCTGTCCCTACAATACAAATCTCACATCACAGGTTTAGAAAACATCCCAGAAGAGGGGGAGCAGAAGGATTTTAACAGCTAGATGTCCAGGAAGTATGCTGTGAGATTGTGCCTTCTAGTTTTGACAAGGAAACCTCACCCATAAAATCTCTACAGCATGGCTGCCCCAAAATGATCTGAACACCACTCCAAACACAAACTGACACCCCAACATTGGTAGGGAAATCTCTTTGTGCCCCACTCCTAGATAAAGATTTGCAAACCATTAACAAGTATTGAGAAAGAGAGAATTAGTCCTCCCCAGGGATAAACATCCTGACTGTAATACCAATTAATCAGAATCTATTTCTGAATACTAAGTCCCCTATTTGTTGTTGTTGTTGTTGTTCTCTAGTCCTCTTATTCTGATATGTTGGCTACCTGGTTCATCCAAGAGATAAATGGGTAACTCAATTATGTTACATTTAGAGTGCATGGTTCTTGAATTTTAGTGAGTAACCTGAACCTATATAAAAGTCACCATTAGGAA